TTTATTTTTATTTTTAATAGTTTTTTTTTAATTTATTGATTCAAAAATCAACATCGATTGTAAACCACCAGAAATCTAGTTATGTGAATTTGGCCAAATTTAAAAATGCCGCCAAAAATTTTAACTTTTGATTGGCTATTGCTGAACTGTTTGTCTGTCATTGGTCACTTATTGGCAGCAATTAAAAATTTATTTCAACTCGAAACAATATTTTTCGAATTTTGTCAATTCTGTTTCCAAAATTAATAATGTATTTAATTAATTTAATTTATTACAATTTTTTTTACTTATTTATTTTTGAAAAAAGTTTTTTTTGAACAAACCATCAGAAACTGGAACATGAAAAAATAAATAAAACACGTGATAAAAAAATTTATTTCTTCATTTCATTATGTACAGCCCTCAAAAGTCCATTTTTCTCGCCACAAAACTCGTGCATATCATCGGTTTCAATCGACCACACGAAAACCCCAGCCAAATTCTTCTCTTTCGCATACTGGACCTAAATAAAAAAAAATAAAAAAAATAAAAAAAAAACAAAAAATTAAAAATTATAAGACATGAAACCAAACTTAATATTTTGCCAAAAAATTCAAAAATTTTCCAAAAAACATAAAATTCTGCAAAAAACTTAAAATTTTGGAAAAAATTAAAAAAAAAACAAAAAACAAAAATTTTTAAAAAGGACAAAACCAAACTTAAAATTTTGCCAAAAAACTCAAAATTTTGCAAAAAACCGAAAATTCTGCAAAAAACTCAAAATTTTGCAAAAAAAAACTCAAAATACCTTATATTTAATCGACTCTTCGTTATCATAACCGACCCAAAACTCCCCATCGTACAAATAGGGCACTTTCATATCATCCAAAAACACCACAGTCCCGCTTTTGTGAAACTCGCAAATCTCATTGTAGCCCAAAGTCCCCAAATTGTCGGTGTACGGTCCTGGATTCCCCGGCGCACTTGATGGCGAATTCAACCCATGGTCGTCTGGGTTGGTCAAAATGTACGAATGCCCGTAGAAGGCAATCCCAAGGACAACCTTCCCTGGGTCAGCCCCACCATTGACCCATTGGGTGATAGCCCCATCGGTGTTGCGATTCTCACGCATCCAATCGCTCTCATTCGCCTCACCGAAAAGGGGGGAGTTCTCGGCAGTGTAGCCAACCCACATGGCGTGAAAATCATAAGTCATGATATTAATCAAGTCCAAAACCCTTAAAAAAAAATATATTTTTTATATAGGGTGTCAAAAAAAATTGTGAAAAATTTAAGGAGGTGATAGTATAGACCAAAATAAACAAAAAATTCTTAATAAACATAGGTCCGCAAAGTAATGGTTTCAAAGATATATGAAAATTTTAGTATATATGTTTCAAAAAATTACCAATATCTCCGAAACCGTTACTTTGGGGACCCATATTCATTAGGACTTTTTTGTTTGTTTTGGTCTAAACTATCACCTCCCGATATTTTACATTTTTTGAACACCCTGTATACTTGCTTGGACATTGTTGGTATGTCATACCCGCCAACTTCGGACGGGATTGAATTGACAGCAGCCGTTAAAAGGTAGCCCCCAGGTTTGAAAGCCTCACTCAAACTAGTCAAAAGCGAATTGAAGGCTTCTTTCCCATATGGGTACTCCCAATCGACATCCAACCCATCAAAATTATAAGTTTGGAAGAATTCAATCGCACTTTGGGCCATTTTTTGTTGTTTTTGGACATCTTGTGAGATGGAAATGAAGGCATCGGTCCCCGCAGCAGCCCCCCCAAGACTTAGTAACACTTTTAAACCAGGATTGGTTTTTTTCAAGTCGCTGACACGCTTATAGCCCCCTTGTTTGACATCATTTTCCTCATCTTCCACTTTGATACTACCATCTGGGTTCAACCCAGCGAAAGCGTAGTTGATATGGGTGCAAAGGGTGGGGTTGATGTCCTCGGGGAGGAATTTACCATTACCCTCGCGGGTCACCGCCCAACTAGCATAGTAACAAATTATTTTGTCTGGAAAATTATTATTATTATTATTATTTTTTTTTTTTTTTTTTGGTGTAAAATACCTGTGGCTGTGTAAACCTGGCCGAAAATCGCACACAGCCCGATTATTATCACAATTCGCCCCATTTTGAGTGGACTTACGTGAGTGAGGATGCGTTTAAATGGAATTTTTGAGTATTTTGAGTGTGAGAGATAAAAGTTTGAGGTACTCAAATCTGGCGAACTTGGAGGACCGTTCCAGGAATTGACACAATTTTATCTCTTATCTTTTGTTCTAAAATTTATTTTCTAAAATTAGGCCAATAGTTAATTAATGTTAATTGAGGGAAATTTTTCTTAATTAAGTGTTCTCGACTTAAGTAGGCTAACAAACACTTCAATTAGTAGTACCAACGTTAAAATACAAAACTCTTCAAATTATCTCCGAGATAATTATCGATTTTTACTATAAAACAAACAGTTATTTTAAACAATGTCAAGATTTTAGTTTTTAGTAAACAAGAATTATGTTTGCGAAATATTTGGTATTTTTGGCATTTATTTGCCTCTACGTCCAACACAGCCAAAGCGCCACAGGTAATTTTTATTAATTTAGTTTAATTAGAATTAATTTTGATTTTTACAATTAATTAATTTGTAGAACAAGTTAGACTTAATTTTTGTATAAAAAACTAAATTTTAATTCAATTTGGAAATATAATTTATTAATTAAATTCAGATAAATTTAGTTAATTTAAGACATGTTTTTTAATTAAACATATTTATTT